CGGAGAGACGAGAGTTTAAGGCCGATGATGCCAGCCAGCGGTGGACGACGCGAAAGTGCGAAGATAACGATGGCCGCGCGCTATTAACGAACGGCCAACCGGAACGCAGAACGCAGCTGCAACTTTGCACGCTCGGAGAAACGGCGCAAAGTAATTCCAAGCTTTTTCTTCGCGCCGAGGTAACGGCGCTGCGTGGCGGAGGAAAAAAAATTGGAAAGAGACGAGCTTGCTGCCACGGTTCTCCTCAAATGCATCCGAACGATCGTTTGCCAGTGCGCGTTGCACCGTGAATACTCGACGCGTCGCGTCGATAACACTACGAACGAGTACGAGTGCATCCCATGGTCTTCGTACCTACCTACCTACCTACCTACCTACCCACCTACCTACCTACCTACCTACCTACCTACCTACCTACCTAGCTACCTAGCTACAGCCCTACGAAGCCACTTTTATCGCGGCTTTCTTTTTCCCTTTCCTTTCAAAGCTTTCCTTCCCCTCCATCTCTCTCTCTATCTCTCTCTCTATCTATCTATCTCTGTCTCTCTTTCTCTCGCTGACACACGCACACCAAACTATCGTCTCTGCGTGAAAATGAATTTCTAAGGATATTCACGAGAGTAACGCGATACACGATCTTTCTTATCGACGTTTGCTCGCCGATTCGAGTTAACCTTACAAACTTTGCCAACGCTGACTACGGAATATCGATGAAACGATCGTTTTCGATATATACGAGGTTTGTCGTAACTAGCCAAAAACACGAGGCGTGGGTGTTCGCGAGAAAAGAAAGCAAAACGATATCCTTTCGTTCGTTTCGATCGTTACGAGGTGTGTTTGTCGCTGAGGAAATGGCATGTCAGGTTGCACAGAGGAGAGAGAACCACGGAGCTACGTTCGCTCATTGCCACGTAATATTATATGATTTTATTTGTAAACACGAAACTTTCCACTACTGTTGTCCTGTTTCGTTGAAACGACCTAACGACACGGAGAGGAACGCGTGCAGCGAAAGACGAGAAATTCGCTTGTACAAAGTCCGCTTGCTCGACGAGATTTTATTTAACGTTACCGACCGATCAGATCAACCTGCGCTGCTACGCGAACAAAAACCCATAAACAGGGAGAATCGGTGGAACGTTCGTTGGTTCGCCAAAGCGTACGTACACAGCGAATCGCACGGTACGTAGAAATGTTCCAATTTCTCCGTATCCTTTAAGTAAAATTATGTTGCGAGTATTTCGAGCGTGAATACACCGATTATATCGCTTGCACCTACTATAAGTAGCTTGACGTACGACGTCTAAAAGTAACTTTGTCGAATCTCGAATAACGACACTCGATAAAATAAGTGTGTTTCTTCGAACGTGACGGTCGTGCGTTTCTTTCGCGACGATTACAAAAGCGAGCGTGACGGGCGATTACGCGGCGTTGTGGCAAAAAATAAACTTAGTTCCGGCTTTTCGAGCGTTTTCGTTCGATCGTAAACTCTACCCACTCCAAGATCCATACCCGCTCGAGATACTTTACGTAACTCTTTCGTCCTGACGAGTTTTTCTTTCGCGGCATCGTTCTGTCTTCGACAGTCGTGCAAACGTTTCTCTCCTTGCAACCGTATCGACAGAAAAGTACCGCTTCGCCTCCACGTTCCAGCGATACCGCGACGCGTTTTACGTCTCTACCACGTGACGCGACAGCAAGAGGGTTATGCGGATGGATCGACGTTCGATCGAGTTTCCGGACAACGATTCCAGAAGGTTCCTCTCGCGTCGCAGTCGTATCGACGCTTATCGACGAGAGCTGATTTATCGTCGGCGAAAATTCTGACAAACTGTTTTACCTGCACTACTTCGTATCGTTCGTTCGTTATTAACAGACTCGACCCTACGTAATAGTCGACCGTACTACAAATCGAACTTGAGAGAGAATTTTCAAGTTTTCATTCAACTAGTATTTACGTCGAGACGGAAACGTACCGATGATTATGGCATTTAAGTTCGAATTATTACGGATATCGATGTCTCTAACCGCATATTACGTTCTGTTTTACCTACCTACGTACTTAAATAATACACGTACGTATATCAAAGTAAAATACGGATAGTAAAACACATTAGCGTCTGTGTCTTTTAAGCAGATAACTCAAGTGTATTCTATCGATAAGGTCGCGAGTTATAATGCTTCTAATTATTAATCTATCACGAATTTGCATACTTTACACTAATTTAAATATCGTTACCACGAGTCCACCAAGATATAACGTACGAACCTACCAATATATATTAAGTTGTTCGAAAAGTGTCTTTTTTTTACAGACACGTCTTTTACAACGATGCATCTTTACACAAACGTGAAACCTAACCTGTCCAACGTTGTGATCTTCATTTTGATAGAACAAAATCGACCATACGTAATTCGGTAAAATAATATAATGTGCATCCATTATTTCCTTATAAAACGTAAGAAACTTCTCCGACGACCTGATAGTAACGAAGGTAAATTCAAATTCTGCAAACCTTCGTTTACGCTATAATTTTGAAGCTGCTGTTGCAGAAGAAATCGAAGCGTTCGTAGCGAATCTCGCAAATATTAGAAAGCTCAGGCCGGACAACGTACTCGCAAATATTGACTTCGTATTTTGCCCCCTTTGTCAGCAGCTTCGACAAACGTATCGGGGGGGTCTATAATTTTCGATTTTAACGGAAACAACGAACCTGTCCGCATTATGTTGCGCCGTACAAACCGTACAAACCGGATTGTTTGTATTTAGTCTCGAACGTAATATTTGTAACACGGGCCGAGTGCCCATTACGCACGGCATGGTGCGGTGTATCGCGAACGCACGGAACCGCGTATCCGCTAAATGGAAGGCCTTCTCCTCTCTACATGTATATTCGTATCTACTCGAATGCTCGTTGACGTCCGCTGACTTTCTCCGCTTTTCAGATTCCCTTCCACGCGGTAAAACGAATCGATGACTTCAAATTCCAGTTGCACGCTCGTGCTCGTATTTCTATATATTTATATTTTTGCCACCTTCGTTCTACGAGTACCGCCCTACGTACGAATCTTTTCTTCTTCGACGCGTCCTATCGAATACCAAATACCAAATAAACACGACTCGACTACGATTAACGGCGTCTACGTGAATTTTCGATTCTACACGACCGTAGAATTTATCGATCGAGGAACGACCCGTTTAACGAGCCTTCGATTCGTCATCGGCCAGAAATCTGTTTGCCTTACAAAGTCTGAAATCCACGCAGTCTGATGGCTATAAATATTGGCGTAAAGCTGATCGGCGCGTGTTCCATCGCCACGTGGCTGAACAAAGACCGAAAGAGTGGAAGAACGAGAGCGAGAATGGCGAAATTCTGCGGACGTGAAACTACTTAATCGATCCAACGACACAGCTGATCGTAATGGTTTCACTTGCCGAGAAGTTTGTACAGCCGCTCGGAACACGTAATCTCCGCGCGACTCTCGCGATTCGAATCTTCCGCAATTGCGGCTCCGGGATACGCGACGATTTCCACTCACGTTCGTAAAGTGCGCGTTTATCAACGAGGGCCGAGAGACGACGTCGCGCGTTTGTAATTCGCGCAGAACGATTTCGATGTATGGCGTGCACCTTTGGCGTAGCATGATGCTAATAGGACCTCGTAATTAGTCGAAAGCTAGCTAGATGGATGGAGATCGAGAAAAGCAGAGAGAAAGAGAGAGAGAAAGAGAAAGAGGGAGGGGAGGGAAGGTAGCGAGGACGATAGGGGAGGAAACGAAAGGGGTAGATAACAGAGAGAACAATCGTAACTGGCGGTTGATTATACGGAGCATAATCAATTAAATGTGGTGCACGCGGGCTTATGCGGTGTAACGACGCTGCACCGATTACGATTTTCCGCTAATTCTCACCTCTGTTACTTTTCTTCTCCGCGTGCTTTTTCTGCCCCCGTAGATATTAACATTACCGGTATTTAATTGCCTTTTAGGAAACGCGCTCGGACCCTTGGGAGAAACAGCAAGTTTCTTCGATTTAACGCGGCTCGAGGAAACGCTCGAACACTCGTCGGCATCTTTTACGAACACATATTACGCTGTACGAAAGTTTCGAAATTTTATTAGCATTGTAACGACACCCAACTGTAGTAACTAAATATTCGTTAGATTAATACGTTTAAGATGGTTAAGCGGTAAATATTTTGTAACTGGCGCGTAATAATTCTGCATAAGCGCGACAGTCGTGCCTCGTTAAAGTTCTAATGAAATTTCAAGATGTTTCGTGCGATACACGCGTTACACGCACGCCAGTTTTCTACGACGAGCCACTGTGCGTGAAAATCTTTGGTCACCCGGAAGGAAAAATCGCGAATGAATATCGCTGGAAGAATCGGATACCGATTTTTGGCTAAAACGATGTATAAATAATGCTAAGCGCGCGCTCCAGTATCCTTGGACGAATAAAACGAAAAGTGTTTCAAAATAGGTTAAAATTACCTGTTGCTGGTCGGTACACAAAGGCATTTCCTCCAACTTCATTTCTGTAAAGGAAAGAAAAAGGGAAAATAGTTTAACGATTTATAGACTTTGAGCGAAGACCGCCTAATTTTAAAGTACAATTGCTATCACGAATTGCGTGGCTATTTTCGTATAAAACGGACGATAAAAACGTTTTAATACAATTATCATCGATACAGTTTCGTTTGTTAATATAATTGAATGTAACGTAATATAGTTTCGTTGGTCGATTTTGCAGATCGTATCCGTCGCCTGTGCAAAATGGTGGACCGAACGGCACCCCGATGAATTGCGCTGGTTCTCAAGGTAAGAAAAATTCCAACAACAAAGCGAGAAATTGAAATCGAATTGGTACGCGTGTTACAATAGTCGAACAAGAAGAGAATACGCGCGCGTTCCGAAAGTTCACAGGCAAATTGTACATTTTGGAGATTGGAACGGTATTTCGCAATAAAGGAAGAACGTCGCTGATTAATCAGTGCAGCGAAAAATTCGGGAAAACGTTCTACATATTAAATTAGCGTTGTATTAAATTTATTGGCGGAGTTCTCTTTTAAAGATTGGCCAGGCGCGGCGCATCGGATACGCTCGCAACCTCTATAGTGTGCGAACAATTTCCAACTATCAAACGTCGGCGATGTATAAAAGCAACGACTCCGATATTTCAGAGGAAAGTTTCAAGCTACGTTGAAAAAATTACCCCCCTCGTGACAATTCAATATTGCACGATTACGCGGACAAAGGTATAACGAATCAAATATCGTTTTAATTTTGTATATTGTATCTTGCAAATATGACTACGCACACAAGCCGAAACGTAGGTGATTCATGCGTTTGGCATGCCACAAAAACGCCCGCTTAATCGCGTACGTTCATTTTCAAATTCAACATATACCGTTGCTCGTATTTTCAACGGGGAATTTCGGCGGAAAAAGATTTTTCGAAAGATAAGCGTAAAATCGTCAAATCAGCCGATAAATATCAGCTCGTAACATTTCCTTCGATATTCGCGTTTTTTCCTTTAATTTTCCACCTTACTCGATCGAATTGTTCGAGAACGTCGCGTCCTCATTACGAATTTCCGTCGGATAACGACACGTTCCAGCGAACGCTGTTCTTAGTCGCGCGTTACGCACGAACAGGAAAAGAAAAACGATGAAAAATTCATTAATAAAACACGTTTGTTCGGTGAGTTCTATCTCGTTCGCCGATAGCCTCCCGTACGGCTCATAGTCTCGTTCTTGTTTATCGTGGCGTTTAGAAAACTTATTCGAGATTATCCCAGATACTCTGCAAGCGCGTGAAAGTTAAAGCTTGAGAAAACCTAATCGCGGAGCAATCTTTTTTTAACCGTTGCTCTGAATTTTCGCGACAGCAGCATCGTAAAAACCGAGCGAAATTTTGAGTAAGCGATTCGACGATATCGACAGTGTAAACACATGGTGGAGGTTGAAGAACGCGTAAAAAACTGTTTGAGAAGAATCGAAATTTGATGGAAATCGTCGACTAGCGAAGATATCGCCGATGATGAACATTTTTTCCCGGGTCCGTTGAACGTTTGCACGCGTCGTTGAGCAACTTTCGACCGCGTTCTCCGTTTCGAAATCCTCGAATTAATAGAGTGATCGAACTTACCGTCGTATCGTTGGTATTAAAAAATCTGAACGAAGGTTAACGAGACGCGACCGTGAAACGTACAGGCGCCGAGATCGCGAAGATTCGTGCGAGGAAGGATGCGGATTTCGAGGCTGGAGTTTGGAACGGCGTGCAACGGCATTTTATTCGAACCGGCGAGATACGGTTCCGCATTTGCGGAAAGTTGAGTCGCGACGTAAAAATATACCTGCAGCGATAAGCTGGTGGAAAAATAACGCCACGTTTTTCCGTCCAGATCGATATTAAAAATATTCGAAAGTAGCGGGAAAACGTGGGAGCGAGAAGAACGGGGGAAAAAGGCGCTGCGAGAGAATCGAACTCGTTCGAAAAAGGAGCCCGAGCCTCTTCTATTCGCCATGATTCTCGATCTTCCGTGTTCTTTCTCGAACACGATATTTTCTTTCCTATCGGCAAGATAAACGAAAAAAGACGGAAAAGCGAAGCTACGAGAAACCGCGAAAGATTCGAGTGCGAAGATCGAGGAGGATCGAAAAGTAGATTCGAAATTGCTAAGTTGCTAACGATCAAGGCGAGAAGAGATTGAACCGACGTCGGTGGGTGCGATGTCTTTTTCTGTGCAGGGGTGATGGTAAAGCAGGAAGCGAGGGATGACGGTTACGAGACAAGTCCGGACCTCGAGATGAGGAGCACCGGTGGTGACAGCAGTCAGCAGTACCACACGCCACTGACACCGCACACACCGCACACACCACACACGCCGCACACACCCCTCACGCCGATATCGGCGACAGCGCATCAACCCCAGCAACCTGGCTCGACCGCTTCCACCCTCGGACAGGTGAGTTTTTTCCTATTTCTCTCCAGAGGAAGGTACACCCGCGAAACCTCGTTCGAATCCAGTTTCCACACCTCTTCCCTTTCTATCTTCCTTTCTCTTCTGCCAAGCTTCCTAACAAATCTGTAGCCAACATTCGCTTGTTTCCATTCGACCACCAAGTTTCCATCGAAAATTTCATTTCTACTAATCGCGTGAAACGTGAAAATTATATTTATCGGACGGAAGAGTATTTTTAGCTTGCACCAACGAACCACCATCGAGTATACTCGAGAGGATATCTCGCTTAATCGATCGCGGTGCTACGCGAACGTATAATTCCGTGCGATATAAACAATGTTCTTCTAAGCTTTGCAAGTAGTTTCTCGCATTTCTCGCTGGAAAGCTTCGCCGAGTCGATTTTTCGTGTAAGCGCGATATCGTGGAATCGAAATTAGACGAAAGGCGGGCAAAGAAAAACGAACAACGGACGAGAGCGTAAAGAGCAAAGGTGACGTGGCATGAATCGCGCGAAACGATAATATTAAACGATGCGCTGTTAATCGACACGCGCGAGTTTCCGGAAGTGAACGATTGCGCAAAGAAAAGTTCTTAGGTCTGTTTAGAAAGTGAATCAACGACCGACAGAGACGCTCGTTGCGAACGATCGTATCGATCGGATCTAGCGGCCGTTCGATGAAAATTACGAGCAATAAATTAAGACGAGAGCACAGCGGCGATCGGCAGATCGAGTTTCCGCGATGATACGCCAAATGGTCGATTCGCGTTTCCACGTTAGTTTTACGGCTGGCTTATGCAACGAGGTTTGTCGTTGACACGTAACAATGTGAGTTATGCGAATGGGTCTGGTCCATCGCATTCTTCGCAACCTATTTTTTCGGCACAAGGTCGATCCAACTAAACATTTGGCACACGTACATATCCAAGGCGAGGTAAAGGTGAGAGAATTTACATATCGGGGAAAAGTTTCGTGGATAAAAAGCCTTGTACGGTGAACTGCGTCTTTGAATTATTGACACAAGTTTGCGATCCAATTCGTTTCATTCGACCTAACGATAGGCCGGTGTTTTATCCGAATTGCGCTGCTCGACTTGAATTCTCGCGTTAAACGGCCCTCTTTCGCGCGAGCAATTAATGAAAAATGATAAACGTGCTCGATCGGATGTAAAAGGCTGTTGGTTTCTCATGTCTAGTTCACACTGATCGCAACTATTGGCAAATAAACGCAGCAAAACGTGCGTACACTGGAACTCGCGAATAGCGTTTCTGTTATGTACCGTACGCCGATCAGTTCATGTGCTCGCGAAAATTTGCAAGATATCAGCTAACAGTGTTCGATACTATCATATTTCACGAATATGTTTGTAAATATCTTAGATTTGGAAGTTTCGCGATATTTATTAGATAACGAATTTATGGTTCTTGCAGTTTCGCTGAGTTTCAGTGCATTCTTGATAGATTTTCAGATAGAATTTTAAGCCTGTCCCGAGGACATTCAAGCTGAACGTACACGAAACAAAGCGCAGCGTGCTATTAGAAATTCGACCAGAATAAATAGCACGCGAAGAAACGGTAATCAGATGACAAACTGGTATGGTGAACCATTGGCGAACGATGGCAAGCGATGCGTCGCGATAGTCGCCAACTGCTCGTCAACAACGATATGAACTCGGCGTTAGCCTTCTCGTGGGTATCGCTTAATTTTTAAACGCAAATCGTACACACCGACTGCTCTCATGTCGCACCAAGATAACCTAAGATCGAGGCTAAGAAGTCGAAAGATAATCGGTCGCGGCGACCAAGCGGACACTGATAAAAAATATCCCTTGCTTTTGTGCTCTGCACTCAGCACTGTTCGTTCGAAGATTGCAACCAATAGCTATAGATAATCGTGTCACTGTCGCGTCGGCTAGTTATCTCCTCGTGAAATTTACATCGATGATCGATTGCTGCCTGCTCTCGTCCGGTTGCTGGCTTTTCGTAAGAACCGATTCGTCAACCCTAATTTTCTTCGATTTAAGCGGTCAGTATTCCTTTTCTCCTTTTGTTTCTTTTTTAGATTCGAGATTTCTCTTTTTAGTGGAATTGCTTCTTAGCCATGTAATGATATATATCTTTTTGTAGTTCTGAATCTTACGTCGCTAATGACATACAGTACACGCATGGTAGAAAGTGGAGAAACGTTTTTTTCAATACAATTTGAACGAATACGAAAACGCGACTGCACAGTAACAGAAGAATATGTCGAAGACGGTTAATTAGGTGCGCCTCTTAACATCGGCACGGCCGTTAAAGCGGTTAAGATCGCGCGAAGCTACTACGAAAATACGTTGAAACGTTCACGGGCATCGAGAAAACGATGAGAACGCGAATGAAGACGTGTGGACGCGAATTGACGTGTAGCGAGTAATTACGAACGATAATCTGTTTGACAATTTTGAAACACTATTGCGCGACTAGTACGTGTATATTTTACGATCGTACGTGATCACGATACCGTGTGCGTTCGCTCTCTGCCTGTCGTTCAAACGTTATTTTCCCAACGACGCATAAAAAACCCACTGCAAATTCGCCATCGCTGTTGTCACGATGGCAAAAAGTTGTAACAAGTTAGTCGGATGTTGATCGCACGGAATCGCCGTGATTAGTTATGGTCTGTTGATTTTTTCTAAAGGAACAAGGGCAGCAAGGAAAAAAAGAAGGAAAAAAAGAGAAAAATTAGTTTTGCTAAAAGAGAATGTGATTCGTAGGTGGCGATCAAGTGCGAGACTCCGGTGGATCCGTACTCGTTCGTCGACGAGGAAATGTCGATGGGCGGCATCAGAACGGCGAGCAGTCCAGTTGGCAATCCGGAAAACATGACGTGTCCAGCTGGAGGCCAAGGAGTCCTCTCTACACCTACGTCGACGCCGCCTGGATCGCTATCCGGACCGCAACATCTTCAGATGAACCTCGGCGTAATGAACGGCAGCGTGAATCCGCAGTTGGCGGCGCAACAGCCGAAGAAACGCGGCCGCAAGAGAAAATCCGAGATGATTCTCACACCCGAAGAGTAAGAACGCATACGAGATTTTCAATATCTTTTTCTCGTTTTCTTAGACGTTTTGTTTCCTTCTTTTTTTCATTTCTTGCGACTATTACTACGAGATCTACAATTTCATAATCACAGTTCTTCCGCGATATATTTAATATCGGGACCTTCTTGCGCGATAACCTGCCAATTAAAAATTGTAAAGTTCAACTTCTCCTTTATGATTCCGTAATTTTACATTCGATTCGTTGCCGAAGATGTTACGGTTAAACAATTTGCGAATATGGATAATTTCATTCGTTCTAAAATGTTGTTAATAATAGTAACGAAGGTACAATCGCAGCAATTTCTTAATATTCCGTTTAAAAGAATCGAAATGTATGAAATAGATGGTAAAGACGTCAGAGTATCTTTTCTTGCTTCTGTAGCACGTCGACTGCCACGCGTGTTTTCACTGAAATCACCGTCAGGCCACGCGTGCCACAGTACCAAGCGTTCTCTTGCTGGATATTTTAGTAATGCGAGTAAATAATTTTCTTAATGAACCATTTTCGTATTACTTTTATAACGATTCGATAGTTTTATTATTTCCTGTAGAATATCTTTTCAAGTACCTTCGCAAGTAGTCAAATAAGCGTAACACGGATACGGGTGACGCGGCCCTACCGAAAACTTTGCTGTCACCCGAATACGGGTGTCGTGGCAGTCAACGTGATAGAAAAGGACAAATACGGCTTACATTTGTTACGAACCGTTCAACAGTTTAGCGAATCTAGCGAAGCTAGCGAAGAGGAGAAAAATTCGCGCGTGAACCGCGTTTCATTCGACGATAAGCTAACGAGATAATTCGAATCGGTCGTATATTCGTGAAATAATTTTGGCAAGTACACCGCGTGCGATTAGTGTTCGTGGTCGACGGGTACAGTTCATTCTAAATAATAATTTGCGGCGAGGTCAATAGACGTGGATCGATGCGACCAGACTCGATTATAGCTGTTCGCTCCATGCGAACTTTGCTTCCACCGTAAACGAACTTCTTCAACGTAAATAACGCGCTCGCGATCGAAGGAATCGACCAGTCGCGAGCATGGTATTCTTCTCTCCCCTACGAAAGCTCATTATATTCCCGATAGTTACGATACACCTTTAAAAAGTTGTCTGCAATAGCGAGCAAGATCGTTTGATTTGTTGCAAGAATATTCGTCCCGTTTCCCTCTAATTCGAATTAGAAAAGCTTCAAATCCGATTTTTTCGCACAACTGAGTTAGCAAGGTGGCTGAATCGTTGTCATTTTTATACGTGCAATTACATATTCCATTTATAAACCCACAATTAGTCTACATCTTTGCTGTACTATTGTATTACCGTGTTCATCGTGAGAAGAAAAGTCTGTCTCGAAAAACTTGACCGAAGAAGACGGCTTATTCTCTCGGATTGCCATATTCTTCTATTTAAAAGTCACCTATTCTTTCACGCGTCGTTTCGTTTCTATTAAGAACGAATCACGTCGTGGGTGTTTCCATTCGCGAACAACTGGCCTAACCGAAACGAATTATTTCATTATTTGTCAACTTAGGGTCGCACAATTATAGAAATTCGTTGATGAGGGAACGACCCATCTAACAGGTTGATACAACGATACGATGTAAATTTGATTTAGGGCGGAATTAGCCGAGGCGAAGAAACGAGCAAAGACGTACAAGGAGAGAAAGAAGCACGACAGATTCGACGGTATGCCGGAAGAGGAAGTGAGCAAACGCGTTCTTCCAGATCATCTTACCAACAACCTGGACATTATTATAGTAAGTTGACGAATGTTATTCGTCGTGACAACTATATGTATATATATGTCGGAGATGAAAGAACATCGAGATTTCCGGTCCGGAATGTTGGGAAAACCTCCAATACCCTAGTCCAGACTTTTACTATAGCTACACTTAAGTAATAAAAATAAGAAATAGTTCTAATGTTCCAATCTGGCTTTATGACGATGGGTTCGGGTTCAAGGTGACATAGCGGGTCACTAGAGGTCACGGGAATGTATGGAATGATTATATGACTCTCTTTAAAAACAAAGATTGACCCGAGAAGTGGGGACGAGAATATATAAGGGCAGTTTCATTTGGATTACGGGTTAGTTAGTCGTTGGACGAATCGCTGATTGAGTTATCGAGAAAGTTACCCGAATCGTGTATCACGTTGATACTTGTCATCCCGTGGACAGTGGATTCGTTATCGAACCTGAATTCGTTGTCACCATCATCTCGACCATCCTATTACATAAACAATAAACATTAGCTACATCCGCGACGGTAAAGTAAGTACAGGTTCATCGAACGCCCCAAAATTCCAACCTTACTCCGACATATACATACATATACAATAGAAAAAGTTGGACGTGGAGGCGCGATCGAGGACGATGATGCATCGTCAGTTTGGGTCGTATAGTTCCGGAAGGAAGTCGTCGCGCGATCCTGTCCCGTCGTTTTTCGCGAAGCAAGAAGGATTAATCGGATTATCCGTCGGCATAACGGGCGTCTGGTTAGCAGGAAAATCCATCTCGAAGGTAGCGAGACGGTAGGAACAAGTAACGACGACAAATAGCCGTTTGTAGCGCGTTCGTCAGGTGTCGTAATCGCTTTAATGGTCCATACCCAATTCGGTTATCACGCTCGACGTTGGTAACGAGCGCGTTCACCACCTTCCTATCGCGGGCCGTTTCATCGAGCACCGTGTCGATCGAAAATCGTTCTATTTCCAATCGGCAGGACACGACGCAACGGGACACGCGTTTGCGATTTTCCATCGGTTTGTGAAACTCTCTCGTCACGACCTTGACTCGCGCGTCTCGCCAATCGTCCGATATCCGTCTATTTATACGCTGGATCGCGATTCACTCGAGTTCTCGATCAGTTCGAGAGAACATAAGATTTCTGTAATCGCGTCACGAGAACGACGCAAGGATTCCTGGCGATCGCGCCTCTAAAAGCGAAACAAGCTGAAACGACAGTGTAAGAGAAAGATGCAAAGGGTGAAGGAAGGAAGGGGAAGGAAGAGAGAGGGAGAGAGAGAAAGAGAGAGAGAGTCAGTTAGCGGCTGGTTCATATTCATATATTACGCGGAACGAGTAGTCAGCGCGGTCGATCATCCGTCAAACGGTGTAAACGCTTTAACGGGCCGTGGGCAATTCGGTTATTACGGGCGTCGTTGTAATCGAACGCAACGGGACACCGGTGTCGGCCGGCCTTCGTCGAGGCTCTCTACCCCTGGATCCCCGATTCGAAGCCCCCTACCCTCACGGCGGCCTGCCCCTCTGCCTCTCTATGCTCTACCTATCGAATCCCCCGGCCCCCTAACCCAGACCTGCTCCGATCTCATCGACGCGCGTTGTTTTCAATCGGCGACAATTCCACACCCTACCCTGGCTTCCAACCCCCGTCATTTTATCCTCGTTTATCCCGGCCGAAGCGCCATTCGACGCCGACCGACCGGCTAACGCATTGGCGTTAACGCGCTAATGCGATACGTACTTTATGTACGGAGGGAGAGAACTCAACCACCCGTACGCAACAAACGATATAACGCGATTTCGACCAAAAGTTCCACGACCCCTCACGCGACTCACTCTTTCCTCTGTCTCTCTCTCTCTCTCCTCCTCCTTCTCCACTTTTACTCGATCTCTTCTTGACTTTTAATTCTTTTCAAAAAAAAAAAAAAAAAAAAAAACTTTTTC